ACATGGTTACGCGGATGTTGCTGGTTCCCGAGTTCGGAGTCTTCCACGTCTGACCCTTGACGGGAACTTGGGGTGTGCCATCCACGGAACCATGTGATGTGTTCGTCGGAGTGTGGTTGGGGTCCCTTGCAGCAAAAGGGGTCCCTTTAGATGCACCCAGGTGAGTCCAGTCTCGGGTGTCTGCGAGGCATAAAGACTGCGATGGCGATGAATGAGGAGCGTTGTGGGACCGCGATGTCACTGGACCTGTTCAACAAGATTGCAGGGGAACAGGGGGGTGGGGTGTAGCACCGTAGCACAGTGTAGTTGACTTGGGGAGCTTTAGCAAGACTGTAGAACGTCCCTTTGGAAACGCCATATGTTCATTGAAGGGTCTCTTGACTTGGGGCGGAATGTCTGCAGCACCAGCCTCACTCACCGTTTCTGTGGACGGTGCTGCATTCGAACTGCAAATTCACTATGTATCACTATGCCGCAGATGAGCTGCATAGAATCACCTAGACCGCAGTTCCTAAGCAGGGAACCTGCAGCAAGTTCCCTACACTGTAAAGCCCCAAGCACCACTGGAATGTCCCATAATTCAGCTAGAATAGTTGGCCTAGCTGCCCAGCTGCTGTTAGCTGGTTAGGAGGGAGCTCAGGAGCCGAGGTATCCATATTGGAGCCTACAGCGAGTGTTTATCCATATCGGCTGGTAACAGTTTGTATCGCGATGTGTTTATGGCCTGACAGTCGTCGCAACTATATCCTACCCTGGAAGAGTGGATACCCTTAAGCCTTTTTGAGAGGTTGGTCTCCCACTGGACATGAGCAGGTGGAGCGAGATTAGCTTTTCTTTTATTGTCCAGGGAAACGGGGGGGGTTCGATTTTCTACCCACACGCTCCATGTATATTAATTATATAGTACTGTATATGCCGAATTAGATGCCTAGCCTACATTGACGTTGACCCCAGAAAGTTCACCCCAACTGATCGGGATTTCACCACCATTCATGGAGTGTTTGGGATACCTGGTTTTGCCGATGGTGAAGATCTTTCGCTCCAAAGCCAATCGGATCGAAGCTCTAACCTCCACCTTCCTCCGTCGTCCGAGCGATCGGGGTCCCTCAGGTCCAATGGCTCTCGGATGTCCGACACGCGCCGGGCCCGGAGTCCGAGAAGTGCTTAGGACGGCGAGGACGTTCCGGGCAGATCCGATGGATGCTGGAGACGAAAACATGTTGGTGTGTCTTTCGTTCTTGTTCCTCGTTCAGAACTCGATCGTGGCTTAGAATCAAAAGAAGATGAATCGTTTTTTTTGTGAATTGATTGGGTTGGTGCTGGTGATGTTTTTCCGTTTCAGACACTTACAGCTGGCGACGACGTCAGCTTACAAGCCGGCTTTCTCCAGGCAACTCATGCGAATGGAAGCTCTGATCGTCCAGAAGTGTTGGACGTCTCTGACGCCTCATTTGATCATGTTCGATCTGGTTCCAGTATACGACTGGTTCGAGTATCCGCCGCAAACAGCACTACCAGCACTACTGGGGCCTAAAAACCTTGATTTCATGGGTTGAATATATGTTGTTGTAATGGTTCTCTTGGAGTTGCCAAGGGGCACGGCATACCTCCATTTGCGCGTGCATTGATCCCCAAAACACCCCTACGATGGGTTCGCTGCAAATTAGGCAGATCATGGGGATTGAATTGCTGCGCACATTGGCCTAGATCTACTGTCACTTCATTGCTGACATCACCTCATTCTGACAAGCTTCGATTGCAGCCAGTTCGCACCCGCGCATACTCTTTCAGGCATGCCTCATCGATCATATAGAACAAAAATGATGATCAGGCATGATCAGGCATTCTAACTTTCTATTAATGTATACTTATAATAAATCTATATTTTCTATTAGATATTCATATCATATTACGGTAACGCGTCTTCAAAAATTATGTCGGATCACACCTGTTCAAGTCGCCGAGTCTGGCTCCGCCCGGACGGTCGGCGGTCGGCGGTCGGCATGGATCGCGTCTGCACGAGTGTCTTCAAACCATTTGGGCATCGTTGTTCGAAGCATTTGGGCGTTGGGCTGCTGAATGCTTTCGGATAAGTTCTTTTTAGTCCTCCCAGTGGTGAGGTCTCATGTACAAGACATGACCTGGGATCGGTCGACCTTCCTGTTAAATTGATTTCAACTTTGCAGCTGGTGATCAGCCTGCACAACTGTGCTTGGTATGAATACACTTATGATTTGGAAGATGCATGCAAAGATGCAATCTGCAGCTGCCTTTAGGCTTTGCTTTGCATGCTGCGTGCCACAATTCGCGAAAGCGAGGCAAAGCTGATGGACTTGAAGCGCAGAGAAGACCTCAAAGATGCCCTCATCGAGAAGTTCAAGGCCATCACCTCCACGCGGAACAATGGGACGGGGGACCTGCCGACTCGGTTGGACCTGCCGAGTCCTGTCGCCCGCAGGGCCGCTTTGGGCCGGGCTCGCAGTTGAAGGATGCGGACGAGATGTCCGTGTCGTCCGCCACTGGACCGCAGTTAAAACCATGTTTAGTGGATTGGGAGGACCAATGGCACAGACCCCAATGGAAAGGTGGTTTATAGGAACCTCCATGTAAAGGACATCGGTTTCGGTCTCTGCCATCGAAGCTCTGAAACTCCCAGACGTTCCATGGGACTGCCATAGGACTGCCGCCCCAGTGACCCCTGGGAATGTAAAACAAGTCAAAGCCGGGAGCGAGGTGGTGAACAAGCAGCCAGGGTGTGTGTGGATATCTGAGTGGAGCGTGTTTAGTGCGGTTAATGTTCAAGAAACAAAGGCCGAAGAAAACACTCATTATGTTCATTTATGCTCGTCATGACGTTTACTTCCAGGAGCTCTTTGGCTGAGCAGCCTCCCTGGCCCCAGCCTTTGAGATGGCGGATTCCTGACCATGAGATACCATGACATGCTGCAGATTTCTAACGAAAATGAGCCACCGCCCCTCAATGTTTCCATGTTTGCTGACGCTTTACCTTAAATATCCCAAAACTTGCTCTCAAGGGAACGATTTTTGAGACAAGCACGACTTTCCGTTCGATCCCGTTTGATAGACCGAGTTGAGTCCGAAGAGGACTTGATCTCCAACTCGACTGCTGTTTTCCATCCCACATGCTTTTTCGGAGAGCAAATTGAAATTGGGTTCACTGATATATCTCGCATTGTGACAAGCATTGATAGAGACCGGCTGCCAGACCAAGAGATTGGCTTCCGGTGGGGATTTGAACTTCGGTTCCACATAGATGTCAGCAAAAAATCAACCTTGGTATATTTGGGTGGTCTGTCAGACACGGATGTTCATTGTGTTTAGTTGGCGGTTATAGCAATCTTGTTGAACACATTCCGCAGATTCTTGATATGGGAGGTCAAGAAGCCAAATGCTCTACGACCACAAACCCGTAATTGGATGGTTCAGTGGGAGTTGCAACCATCCAGTGAAGGTATTTTGGATGTATAGCTCAAATGCGTGACTCGTGTGCCAGCCTAGGCAGTCATCAGAAAGGAGGTGCGTCCCCCGCAAGCTCAACAGTCGCCATCGCCTGCCGCATGCTTTGGCGCAGGGTGAGGTTTGGCAAGTCCGTTGGAATGAAGTTTAGTCTGAAGTTTGGCTCAATAAAGTGTGAACCTCAATCAGTTGATTGGCCTTGGTTGCGTGAGAATCAACCTAAAGCCAAGGCAGTCCAACTGCCCGATGCGGGCGGTCTGCGGCCCTGCGGGGGGTTTGTCTCTGAATCGCCCCGGGGTCCGTGGTCTGCACCCAACTCCGGTGCTGGTGCAAAACGCATGTAATAAGATGTAATAAGCAGATCGGAGAACGTCAGATTTCCAGTGGACTACAGGTTTTCTCCGACTCGTTTTCCCTTAGAATGCCCCCAGAATTAGTGATGCCCGAGCCCTAGTGGTTTCTCCATGGGGGTCTGGGGTTCCTGCAACTTTTGGCAGTTTCCGGAACAAGTGGAGACGCCCCTACCAGGCCCTACTGGTCAACTAAGAGCAGCGCGTGAAGAAGCCCACCACCACCTGGAAGCAGTGACGTTTGACTCGGAACGGGCGTTTAACATCGACCTATGTGTAAACATAGAAGTCCGACCTACAAGTCAGAGAGAGAGAGAGAGTATGAGTATAGAAAACCCTCCAAACATAGGGTGGAGAAAGGGTAACCCTCCACCTCCATGTTTCTTGGAGAGAGGGTAAGTCTCTCTTCCCTGCCTCCTTAAGGACTTGATTCCCGCCTGCCCACCTGCCCATTCTTGTTTGGCTCGAGCTGCTATAGTCCGTAATCCTAGCTTGACCACGCGCGGCGTGAAAGCGTTGGTCGTAGATTTCTCACTCGACATCTCCATACACTAGGTGCGCTCCGTGAAAGCTTTGCAAGGTCGCAGCGTGTCGGTTTGAGGAATCCATGATGGTTATCCGATACTATGTGATCCCCGCACCCAGTGTCAGTTACAGTCTAAGAGCTTCATTACAAGTTTGGAGGCTCCGCTTTGAACATGTTTTGACTTATAATACTGGGCGAGGGGCATGTAGAACCCAAGTGATTCACCGTGTTCCAATAACCACCACAGCCCGTCAAGGTTTCTGCTGTATGTATTCAATCATGGATCCGATTGGCAAGTTTCTTTCGCCAGCCGAATCTGCTGGCCGTGGGGCGTGGATCAATTTTCGCATCATGAGGAGGTTCTGCACAATTGTTGGAGTCGCATGCATGGTTTCTTTCAAAAAGGATAAAAGATCTATCAGCCCAGATAAGTGGTTCGCCCCTGGATGTTCACCATCATTTGGTGCACATGGACACGTAAACTAAACGTACAGTTCGCGTTGCGAGCGAACGCTGCTTCGAGGTTTTGAGGACATGAAGTGCTGTCATGGGACTTGTGGGTTTGGTGCCACACGCTTAGGTGACACCGCTCCCATGTTAAAAGGCCCATACTACTCGTCGCACCCTTCGACCGAGATCCAGGCGCCATGGGTGGCAGCGCGTCGACTGCCATTGGACCGGAGTCCTGGACCGGCACTGTGCCTCGGCGGTGGTGACCGGTGGTGCCAACAGTGGAGGCAAGGTGAGTCGGGATGGACCAGATCTGTTTGGACACAGATTTCTTTGGGATTCTCAGAGCCATAGCCGCCTAGAGTTCTTTGTCCCAATGGTCCTGGCTGGTGGCAAAATGCGAAGCCAGAAGCCAGTCCAGCTGAAGGAGGAGAACTGTGCACCTGACCTACAAAGTTTGGAGGATGTTTTTAGTGAGAAAGTGGATTGGCAACTGGACCTACAGACTCTTTAGGGGGTGAGGGTTGAACTTTGTGTGTCGATCACACTGACATCTTTGCTTGATTTGGTCAACAGAACGGCGTTTTCCGAGCGTTTTGCCAGAAGAGAAAGGCATGTATCAGAGCACATGTATCTGCACCACCCACAGGATGGTGATTGGTTGGAAAATGCATCAGCTCGGGGCCGACTCACTGAAGCGGGACACCCGACAACCACCCGACCACGGGTGGTGCTGGTGATGCCCATCCTTCGACATCAGGTGTTGCCCTTCCTTATCGATGCAGCTCGCCAAGGCGCCAAGCAGGGACCCCTAGGCCCTTTTGGTCAGTCACATGACCTGAGAACATCGAAGGTCAGTCGGGGATCCCAAACAAAAACAACAGGGTGTTGGGTTTTAAGATATTTGGCTCCTTAAAGGGATCTTACCTAATGTAACTTACCAGTAGGTCCTGACCTAAGGACTTCAAAACGGTCCGCTCGAGGAGCGTTTTGACGATATGGCCAGTTCGCCCCAGTTCGAACGCCATGTGGGCAGGGGTGATGCTCACTGGCCTGGGCGCAAGAGAAACACATCGGCTCAGTGGAACGCTGGCCCGCTTATGCGTCAGCTAGAGCCCCACAGTGGTCATCTGAAAATCGATGTGGACATGATGCACCCGGCATTTGATGAATGGACCATTGTTTGGAGTAGATGATGCTAAAAATGCCATCAAACCAGAGTGAAGCTTTGGAGACTCCTGAGCAACACTCCCCAAGTCATCAGTACTTGTCTTGCACCCACCTCTGAGTGATGTTCGCAAGTTTATGCAATGAACTCATTTTTACCAGACCATAGGGTGAGTAAGATTAAGAGTCAACATTTTATAACGATGTTCTTTGTATTTCTTAGTGATGTTCAGACCGGCGCATGCGTGAGTCGCGGCCTCCAGAAGGGCGGCGGAGGGGCGGCGAACGCACGGCCGAGGAAGGTGGTCCTGGATGGGAAGACCTTCGCACCTTTCGGCATGGTGCCACACGCGGTGGAGCCTGAGAAGGTGCAGACATGAATTACTGACAATGACTGCAATGTTGGAGTCTTTTTTGCTGGAGGTGAACCTCCAACAATGGAGGGCTTACGGGGGATATATGGGGATATTCAGAGTATAGGATGTATTAATTAGGATGATTTAGGATATATATTCAGTGTAGATGTTGATTTGTGGTGCTTTGGAACCTTGAGTATGACTAATCCCATATTTAAGTGATGGGTGTAGATGTTATTGGGGACGTTGGGGACGTCGACTCGACATCCTCCGCTTCCCGTGGCGGACGCCGCAGGTGGCGGCCTATCGCCCCAAGGCCAGCGCAGGGCGACCTCCGGCCAAGGTGGACCTGCAACAGTACATGACCCACGTGCCTCGCAAAGAAACAAGAACAGACGGAAGCCATGGGCCGTGGGCCAAGGAGATGATCAGGGATGTTTTTGCGATGTGAGTGGGTTTTTCCACCAGGTCGAATGGATCTATTAGGTTTTTTTGTTGGTATCATTTTGGTGATGATGTTTCGGAAGATGAAGATGGTTAGGGTCTCTCCTATTACCTGGAACAGTCAGTAAACAATTATCATCATTTTTGACCAAGGCCTTTACTAACCATCATCATCCACTGTTACAGGTAATAGGATAGACCCAATCCTGGTCTATTTTTAGAGTTGTTGGCGGTGTTCATCACAAGGTTCTTCGTATTTAAAGATGGTGAATGCCAGGTTTGGCTCATGTTGGACTCATCGTCATGGCCATGTGTCGCTACATACCGAAACGGACCGCACGGTTCAAAAGAGAAGCACTGGACTTGCCCACCATGAGGGTTGAGGCCCAGGGTGCCTCCCATGTAGAATCTTGAAAGATAGCGTATAGGCTCGCTTGGGCCAAATTGCGACGCGCGCAGATATTTGCGTGTGCTGGTGTATATGTCCGCCATGTTGGGCCTCAAAGGAGCATGACACGATTCCGCATCGGAAGCAACCGGTCTTTGTTTTAGACTCATCCAGGCGGTCTCTCTATGAATTACACCAGCATAGACCCAGATAGCTAGGCAGAATCCCACGACCTGTTGACATGCGACTGGCTGGAACATGCACAGCCAGCTTACGGCACCTCCACAGCGGCACCCAGCACCAGCACCAGCACCAGCAACCTGTCTCCACCACGTGCACAGCCAGCTCACAGCACCAGCGCCGGCACCCGGCACCAGCACCAGCAACGTGTCTTCACCACGCGCACAGCCAGCTCACAGCACCGGCACCCAGCACCAGCACCGGCACCCGGCACCAGCAACCTGTCTCCATCACGTGCACAGCCAGCTCACAGCACCAGCACCGGAACCCGGCACCCAGCACCAGCACCAGCAACCTCTCTCCACACGTGCAAGCTCACAGCACCAGCACCAGCAACCTGTCTCGAAAGCGCGCACGGGCAACTCATTGTTATTTGAAGTAAGAACCCCATAGCTTCGCTATCTGGGGAAACGTTATCTTTCCATCCTGGACGTGGGATGTTTGGCGAATGTGCTCGTCTATTGTTGGATGTTGGATGGGAATAGGTGAGACTCGTTGGGACTTCATTGAGCAATGGGAGAGTTGAGGAAGGCATTCTTGATTAAGACTTTGACTAAGACACATATATTTGGATTGTACAACTCTTGAGTTGTGGGGGTACTTTAATCAAGATTCTATATGGTTCTATAATATATACATCATTGCTGAGCCTGACACGCCGGCATTCAAAGACCAGAAGAACCTAGGGCGGGCACAAGTCCATGTTCAGGTTTTTCGATACCTCAACCCAACTCTACATGGATGCCCGCTTGGTATAGTCGGACACCAGTCGAACACCTGTGGATTCTAGAAAAAGCACTAGTTCCCAGGCCTTCCATTTGGCCATCAGGGTGTGCTACCGTTGGCCTTCCGCGGGTTCCAACCGGTCGACTGTCGAGGTCGAAGACCAGTCCCAAACCAACAGCTGCTGTGCCAATGCCGTGGCGGGTGCCTACGAACCTTGGACTCCGATGATTTCATATGGGTTGCTTAAAGATGGCTCAATGAGAAGCCAGGGTGCATCATGGATGTTGAAAAGGTGTGGTGGAGCTTAGGTTTTTGCAATGTAATTTTGGAGGTGTTGATACTCAACAAAGGTAACACTGTAGGTTAGGGAGCTGATTCTGACATATTCTGACAGAACATTCATGTGCCCTGAGGGAAAGACACAACTGAAGATCATGAAGTCAATGTCAACTTCCCATGCAAGATTATTTTTTTGGATATGTTTGGTACGTTGGCAAGTCCTTTGATAGGTTGAGGGCAGGAGCACCGACCCCTGCATTCATCCCCTGATCCCCTGATTTGGAGATAGAAGGAGCCATCTCCATCTCCAAGCTCCCTAAAACAGCGGCATGGACAGCTTCGAATTGAGTTCCTCAACAGGGCCTATTGGACCTTTTGGCGGACCACCCATCCCAGGAGTACATCAACAAGCGCTATGCCATGGCCAAAGGCGGCGAGCGAAGATCAGGGCGGCAATCAAGAAGATCCTTTTCTTGGCATGGTTTCAATGGCATTGATTCTTGAATCTGTAAGTTTAGAGATTGATCAACTAGCTAGTCAGCAGCTGGTGCTTGGGAGGCAGCGAGTCAGCCGGAGCCAGATATCCCAATTCTTCCCCTTTCAACAGGGGGCCGGAACTCGGGGCGACCGACCATGAGAGTTGCCTCCAGCCCTACAAGTAGGCTGCAGCCTCACCGTTGGGTCGTCGATTCTGCTGTTGTCGTCGAGGTTTTTCTCATCGTCTCACCCTCCCACGAAAACGGACTAGCTCACCCCACTCTTTCTGCCTCCCGCTCTTTCTGTCTCCCGTACTTACCAGGCGATCGGACGGAGGACATCTCTCGACTCTTCATTTACTACGTCGGTCGCAAGAGGGACCAGCCCTTTGGACTTCGGGCGTTTGGAAACGGTGGAGGCCCGCTAGCGGGTCGGGTCAGTCATGAAAGGCCTTAGAGATGGAAAGGCATGGAAAGGGCCTGGAAAGGTGGGTTGAGAGGACCAATGGCACAATCCCCAATGGAAAGGTGGTGCAATGATGGACTATATCAAAGACATCTTGGGGTGCCAGTGCCATCTAGTCTGAAACCACTGTAATTGACTAACCGTTCATCATCCCCAAACTGTTCCACGCATGGAAGAGTTACAGAATGTTATAGAGTGCTACAGATGCATTTGCCCTATTTACGTTCATATAAGGATGATTGCGGGTCCACTGGTAAGCCTGGAAGTAAGGAAGCGGGCGTCCACCCATCGACGATGCTTCCTACCCATAAGCCCCTTCAGAAAGGCTGGACCTTGGTCCAGCCGGGATGGTCGATGGCGCACGAGATATGTGAGGAACTATTGGAAGAGGCAATATAGGAGTTGTTGTTCATGTTCTCCGAAATTGTGCTGGGTTCTTGATTTTTCTGATAAACTCATCTAAATTGACCAGATGATGCCATCCAGGATTGCGCCGGTACAATTCTTAGATCATTGTACGAATTTGAGGCGGCTTACATATATTGCTTTAATCTATCCAACTTGATTGTCTCTCCTTTCTGATTCACTTTGATCATGTAAAAACAAGGGCAATGGAAAAAGTTGAGACCGGAAGTCGTTGGATTCCTCCACCGGACAGTTGTGTCGAGAAATCCTGTTTTCTTGCAAAGGAACAGATGCAGAGTGGCCTGCGGGTCTTCCTGAGAGAGAGAGAGAGAGAGAGAGATGGCCCAAAGGCCCACCGAACCCTTAGTCCACGAGCGAAAGATCCAGAGAGAACATGAGACAACTATATAAGCTGCATTCCCCTCCCTTGAACGAAGAATCCTGCAGCAACTTAGGCAGCTCTTTCGTGAGGAGCGGGCTTTTGGGGCGTGGTGCTGGTGGAATGTGGGTTGATTTGTGCATTCTTTGCCACAAACTGGAAGTGTGATGATCTACCAGGACCTACCAAGCCCAGAGATCAACCCCAGGGAGGTGATTGAGGGTGTAGTGCACTGCCTACTATGTGTGTATGATTTGTTGGAACATGTTAGAACCCCCTTTTGGAACCTTTTTGTTGTTGCCAGCTTCGCACAAGTTCTTTCAATTCATGAGTTTGAACATCAGACACGCGTGCCGCTTGGTAAAGCCTCTTGTGAGCTGGGGCAGTATCAGTAAACCAAATGTTTGAAACCGTCCAGGTGTGCATTGAACAATCTAAGATATAACTGATATAACGATCTAAGTATATAGAACTATATAATATATATATATATATATTTCATTGTGCAAGACCTCAGCTTTGTCCTTGATGCAAAAGACAGGGCATCCTGCTCATCCTATTGGGATCCATTTGCCTTTTTTTTCACTCCACTTTCCCCCGCGGGCGACTTGTATAAACCAACGCTTACGTTCATGTGGTTGTTGTTGTTGTTGTTGTTGTTGTTGTTGTTGTTGTTGTTACGTTCACCGTGCGCTGGGCCGTTACGGCCGCGTGAACACCGTGAACTCCAACGGCCTAGCATCAGGACACCTCGTGACTTGGCACGAGACAGTGGAGGGTGGGGAGTTGGCCAGACAGAGAGGGCGTGGCGTGTTTTGGGCGTGGCGTTTGGGCCAGACTACCCAGTCCCAGTCAGATAGGGCCCTCATGTTCAATCTGGGTGACTGGCAGGCGGTAGATTTGTATATGGTTCTCTCAGGTAATGCAGCGCCAGGGAGTTCAAATCATGATTCCATTATCGTGGTTTCCAGTCCTGTTGTATCGTTTGGGAAGGCGATTGATGATATAAAGCAGCTGCATCTCTTCTGCTTGCACTTGTCTTCCCATGCCAGTTTGAGTCCATCGTACCAGCGGTACCAGCGGTTTGAAACAGGTGGGTCTCTTATGAGACACACCCGCTCCGGACCCTACCGCTTGCAGCCCCACCAGTCTTGCAGCCCCTTCCATCGCCGGGCACGGTCCGAGGGTGGCACCCAAGGACGAGGGCATGTCTTTGGGAGGCGCAAGGGCGCCATGGACGGGGAGGAACACTGCTATAGCAGAGCCACTGCTATTTTGCGGGGGAGTTGTTCAATGCTTGTCTCAAAGAATCTCAAAGATCTCGATTTTTTTTGAAATAGAAGCCTCCGAGATAGAATCAGCAATAGGCAGCATACCGTTGCTGCCGACATTTGCATGCTGGCGTGACAGCTTGCTCCTGAACAAGCTTCAATGGGTGCTTTCTCCTTGATGCCCCTGGCATATCCTCATGGCTTTTCCCTTCTTTTCCTTCCACAGCAGGAGAGTCCCTGCGCCATACCAGTGCCAGCCCGCACCACCGAACGTTCACTAAACACCCAAATGGTGACACCACGGTTCCCCCCAACCTCGCCCTACAACCGACCCGCGCGCGCGGCCTGCTCAGCTGATGGCGCGGTGCAGGTGCCATCAGCGCGCTGGAGCTGAAAGGTGGAGCTGATCAGCTGGAGCAGAGACTGGGGGGAATCAAGGATCGGACAGGAAAAGGGAGGACCTAGGAGGTCGAGACTGGCACAAGCAGTGAGGCACATGCATGTGGGTTTTACCTTTTTTACATTTGATTTTCGGTTTCTTTGGCAAGGGGTTGCGCTGGCTTGAGTGGCCAGACAAAGAAAAAAGGATGAGAAAGGTTCATGGTGTTCCCGTGGTTGTGCTGGACGATGGGCTCCCCAGCAAAGCCCATTCGATTGATATTTCTGGTGTGCGTCAGATGTTTTCTGACATAGTCAAGTCGGTGTTTTTGCTGGTATGTCAGACTCCTTGATTCTGATTCACCACCACCAGGTGTTCATTGATGCGCCTATTAGTTAATTATAGTTTGGACATGCTGGGGTTCCCAGCATCCATTCATACCATTTCATACATCAGTTTTTCCCCGGCGCCGGCAGTTTCTTCTCCCTCCCCTCTTGATTCCAAACGACAGATATCGTTTCCCTCCATTGCCCCACATGCCGGGCGCTGTCCCCCCTATTCATGCGTTGGTGTTCTCAACTGAGTCCGTCCGTCCAGGCGCCTGCATGGAGAAGAACTGGCCTTTCAACATCGATCGGGTGAACCACAAGTGCCTTTTTTTTGCAAAGCCACCGTCGCCAGTGGCGCCGATCGCGAGCGTGGCTCGGTTCTTGCGGCGCTGGGTGATGTTCCTGTTGGTTTTGAGTGGAGCTTTCTTTGGATGATTTGGGAGAGTGCAGATGGTTGGCTTGTTGGATGAAATGTTTGATGTCTTCGATGCTTCCCGAGAGGCAGGATTTTGGGGGGTTCGATGGACTGGGCATCTCCAGAAATGTCAAGGTTGAGGGTCGCGGAGAAGTTCAAGACAAAGTCCTTGCATGTCCTTGGTATACGTATGGGTACTTGCAGTGCATTCAACATTCTGATTATATAGAGGATGCATCATGATGCATCTATAATAATGCATGAACAACAGGTTGTGCCAGAGAATGGCTACACCTGCGAACCTGTCGACATGGAAAGGTTTGCCAGGACGCCTAGACCTAGCCAGAGCCTGTTTCCTCAGCCAAACATTGCACCCCACATTCGTCCTGGAACCTCAGCGCTTTAAAGTGAAAGTGTGTTTTAATTTCTTCATCAAACTCAGCAATAGATGGAAGCTGTTTCACCGTGGCCTGTATTCGTGGTTTTGTTTAGATTCGAGGTGTGTTTGCGTTCCTGGCATCTGGGTTTTCTATTATGCAGATTCCTCTTACATGCAATCTGGAGAGGCCCCTTTCCCTTATGCTGTGCACTGACTTCAACCCTACGCCCCAAAAATACCGCCTCCCAAACCCGCCCGCGCCCCGCGTTTTTACACACGCCCCCACCCACCGCCGCCCTCGCCGCCCCCGGGTTTGGAGGGTCGCCATCCGCCCGAACCACGCTCGCCCCAACCGAAGCTGGAGGCCCAACGACCCCTGCTTCACGGAGGCGGTCCGCTATAAGATCGCCGAGTCCAAGAAGGCGACGGTCGCCCGACCGCGTCGCGGAACGCTGCGCGGGGCGAAGGCGCGCGGGGGAAGGCAGCGCGCGGGGGAGAGAGAGTGGAGGTGGGGCTGGGTGTGAAAGCGAAAGAAGGTCCACGGGATGCTGGAAAAAGGATGGAAAGAGAGGGCATGTGGGTTTTGTTTGGTGTTCACAAGGGATGAAAAGACATGAAGAAGTGACATGAAGAACGGGCCAACACATAGACATGGAATTGGGTCTGGGATGGTGGTGGGTTCAATGCGGTTGGGAACATTGAACAGGTCCCTTTTTATGCAGTTCCTACAATTGTATAATTGACAATGTCAAGGAAATATCTGACTAAGTATTTCTAATTTCAATTTATTCACCTCCATATGCACATAACATGGATGGTTGGCTCCAATTCAACACTGGCACCTCTCAGGAATTCCGAAGAAAGAGAGAGAGAGAGAGGCAGACACACCCCGTTCTCGTCCTTCGCCTTGTTCTGGTCGCTGTTGCCGCAGGTGCCAGTTGACCTCAGCAGCATGCGCAGGTGCCTGGCCGAAGGACTCCGAACCGGTCTGTGTTTGCCCGGGAGTCGGCGATGGCATCGTGCTTCAGAGCGCCTGGATGGCATCGTGTCAGTGGAACTTGAAGCTTTGTGGAGGTTGAACTCCCGAAATCCGACCTGAATTACTTGTAATACTCAAAGTCGGACCGAAATCGCGGAACAACTGCTTCTGCTTCGGGAAGAATGTGGACGAATATAATATATGTGTGAATATGGTTTTCTGACCATGAGACTGACCATATCAAAGTTCCTAAATCTTCGACCTGTTTGTTTGCAATGCACTCATGACATAAGGACCAAGTTTCACGTACACACCTGACCTTGAAGGTTGCGACATGGACGTACGAAGGGCAGCAACGACACCGTGATGCGTGGGCCTTTTTTCTGCAAGGCTCCCAGCAGTGCTCCCAGCTAACTTCACAAATAGATTGGTGAAAGGGTGAACTACGCACCAGGACGGCCCCAAGCTGCTTAGCTGTTCAGTCCACAACTGAAGGATCCATGTTCAATGTCCCGAGGCCTCCAAGTACCTTCTGAGAAGGTGTTTGGGATGGGTTTGGAGGGTCTAAATACCTTCTGAGGAGGTACGTGGAGGTGTAGGGTGTGTGTTTGGCTTCTCCATGTTTCTCCCATCTTCGATTGATTCGTCCTTCAGTGCTTGCGGCACCGTGCAGTGCTTGCGCCGCGATGTGCGAGGAAATCCCATCGTCTTCGGTCTGAAGCTGACCGCGCAGTTCTTCAAGCCTGCCCCTGGCCGCTTGGAGAGACTGGCGCTTCATCCACCTCATCAGCCTTATGGCAGCCTGTGGATGCCTTGCTTGGTGGCCCCCAGCGTCTTAGTAGACAACAAACATAAATTAGTACAACCCAGTTTCACGAAAGCTCAGGAAACAATCAACGGACCCCACCTGCAAGTTGTATTTTTTGCGGTTTATGATAGTTTATGTAAGAGAGGTGGTGGGTGATGGTGCCACGTCTGCGTGGTTTGACAAGGTGTTGTTCTCCAGGACCGCAGGACTTGGTTTCAGCAACTGGCTGAGCCGACCCTTGAAAAACCACCAAGCTGGTGGCGGGACTCCTTCCAGGAACCCAAAGATTCTCTACTTGATTCATGAAAATTCATGATTTACAGGTCCATCTCGAGACATGTGTGCTTCACAACAGGCAAGTTTTCACTTCCCAAGTCTCTTCTGCCCTAAGTCGAACCTCCAAAGACTCATCTTGAACCTCACTCCACTCATCCTGCCCCTGCTTTGCTGCTGGAAGTGCTGCTGGAATCGCATCACCTTTTTCAGGTGGCGGCATCAGCACACCCGACCCCGACGACCCTCAGAGCAGCGAACACGGTCTGCACGCGATGCTCATCGTGGGCTACAACGATCGACAGGAGGCCGACGACTCTGGTGGACTCCGGACGGGGTCCAATTGCAAATGAGTTTAATCATCTGATCTAAGATGATCTAAGTGTCCGTTATTGACCGAGAAGATCTACATCAAATTAGGCTACGGCAGACCTTCTGGGCCGGCTTTGATGGGTCATGGGACTCGGTTTCTTGGGATCCTTACCTTGTCGGGTCGCTATCGGGGCATTGGGTTCCGACCCACGGTGGTTTCGCTGTCATTCTGCACGGGGATGCCAAGGGTGCGGAATTCCTGGCATTTGGACATCTGATGTTGGACATTGGCTTCCATGCCTTCGTTCGATGTGTTTCGTGTGTGTGTTTCTTCGTTATAAGTATACAGACGTCCAGAATGGAGGAGTTGTCCACATGAAAATGGAGCAGCTTGTCCCGTTGACAGCTCCTCCCTTCTTGGGGGCTTGCGAGCGCTGCTGGTGCGCCGGCCGAGACCGCACGCCGAGCCCACGGGCACGCAAGACCGCCTCCACAGCTCTAGGTCTTCATTGTGCGCAACAGCTGGGGCACCTCCTGGGGCGATGGAGGCCGGTGAGTTTGGCTGGGAAGCCACGGAGGTTCTGCTTGAGTTACCAGGGTTAGCTTGGGGGCTTCATATGCTTGTGGCAACCATGATCACCAAGGAGTAAGATTAGATTGAAGCATTGATAGGTTAGCAAGGACTCAGAATTCCGATCAAAAGATCTGTCGGCGACACTCAGGTCCCCGGCCTCCTCCCTCAGGTCCCGGCCCCCTCCCTCTGGTGTTCATGATGGTCTACCGCACTGGTTTCTTTGCCGCTGGTCAAGTAGAATAACAGAAACCTGGTTCAGTCTTGCCGTGGCGACCGACCTGCGTCAGGCTATGGATATGTGCCTTACAGCTACATTTGCAACGATGACTTCAACTTTTTGGGGCCACTTGACCTGCCAGAGCTAAGACAAGCGTGCGCAGCGTGCGCGGCGCGCCTGGAAACGTCTCGTGACGAACCGTTCTATTGGCAATGTATTGCCATTTGCATGGCCGGGGCATCATCATGCATCATCCAATGTTTTGTGGGCTGCTCAAGAAATACCTGCATAGGCATAGACACCACATTTGGACCGCACACCGAACTCGCCTGAGGCAGTATGCTATTATGGGCCTGACGGAGATGGCACCGCCCCAGAAGGGATTTGGATCGGTCGTACGAGTGTTGCCCATGATCGGGTGGCTAGTATCATGCTTTTTGAGACAAGCCTTTGCCACATCATCCACTGTTTACCCCAGAAAAAGGTCTTATCCACTTGGTGGGACGAGGCGAGTGATTTCATGTCCCTTCACGTCGGGAAGGCTCAAGGGCTTCGCTCGTACGGGAGGGGCCGAAGACGCCAACGGCGGTGGTTTCACCCGCCAACGCCGTTTGTGAAGATCACAAGGCACCGTTGGTGTGTTTGTCAGAGGTCGGTTTGCTGTTTTAGCCTTTGATCGAGGTGATTTAAAGGATAGCACATCAACATCCTACTACTAGCGAGGGTTATGATTCACCTACAGTAGGGGAATCCACCGTGGCGCAAGGATCGCAAAACACCAGTGGAATCTTGCTTGTGTGGTATCCTACAGAGACACAGAAACTTCATGGACAATTCTGTGTGGCCTTGAGAATCTGTAAGGACTTCACACCTGGCGTGCAAGACGACGGCCGGGACTACAACTTCCAAGACACAGGCCTTTGGCTGGGCCTGCGGAGCCAGCTCCGCATAGCTCCGCATGCCTCCCCGAGTGGAGGGAAAATGCTTTCTCGTCCACCTTTGGGATGTTCCACGTGTGTTTGGCAGAGTATCATTCATTTGGAGCACTACTCGTAGTCAAAGAGTGGTGTCGGCCTTCAGGGGGGTCTGAACCGATCAGCTATGATCGCATGACGTCCTAAGGTCTAGAAGATGCACCCCTTGAGCATGGAGAGAAGCTACAGGGATTAGAGTGGAGACTTGGATGAGAGTGGATCTTTTATATCTACCATGCTCTCCACAAGGCGTTCATGTGTCACAAACCTCTATAATTGGGTTGATTCATATGTTGTTTGCAATGTTTAGGCATACATATGGAACTGCTGTGATGATAGGCGATGATGAAATCGATTTGGAGACGTATGAGGATGACCCTGAGGACTGCACTGCTCGCGCCGCCTTGGGGCTGGGTGTCTCCCCCTGAGGCATGTGGTTGTTTTTCCTATTTTACAAGAGGATTCATCGACGTTTTGGTGGACTCAGGGAGGAACATGATTCAGCATGATTCCATCCATCCATCCACGTGGTTCTAGAATCTCTAGAATCTAGAATGGAGAGAGACGATTTCCAATACATGTTGGCGCACAGGGGAATGTATGGGTCTATATATTTGTGGAAAACGCATCGTGGCCACCATGATTTTTCATCCAGTTGCGCATGAGTCCATGTATGGTATCCTGGTATACTTTGAAACTCCGTTTTATTGAAGTTCTGAAGGTCCAGGTGGGGGGCAAGCAGCCCACTTCTTCAGGCTTCCCGGGCTTCCCCCGAACCGGTCGGGTCAGTCGCAGGAAGACGAGGATGATGACTTCGACGTGGAGGATGAATTTGATCCCAAGCGGCTGGGAGAATTGGTCGGATCGCGGCAAAGGGGTGGTCGCTATGACAAATAGGGGGACGCGGCGTCCGCGGCATGTCAGTCGTCCATTGGGTCTTTGATTGCTGAGGGTTTTGGATCATTTTTGCTGAGAGTCCTTATGACAAGTTTCACCCCTGTGGCAGTGGTGGATTATGACTACCAGTTGGAGTAAAATGAGTGATTGGAAGTTCTGGGATATAAGATGATATAAGGGTTTCGATATGTTGCGATGGTTTTCCTTCGTTGGGCTCTTCAGTCTGGGCAGCTCTGGGCAGCTCTTGGGGGGGGCGAGGACACAGTTACATCCCTGCACTACTTAGTATAGGACCGGAGCTCCGGGGGGGCGCGAGGTCGATCGAGAACCTCCGATGGCCTTGGAAGCAATAGAGACAGTTAAGTTATATAACAGTTTTGTAATCGTTCGTTCTCCTACTTCAAGGGCCAAACACGCAGCGCACGCTTGGCGTGTTTCATGTCGTTCCGGGTATCGTTCCGTTCCTTGAAGATCGAACCGAAGAAATCCGAGCTCTTCCTGCCGTCCCTTCTCGGCCTGGGGCCAAGACATTCGGCCGTGGAACCGCCCGCAGGTTCAGACGTTCCGAAGTGCTGGGCATCCGATGCCAGAGATCCGATGCCCAGCACCCGACTCTACAGGTCACCCACCGACTCTACAGGTCTCCGAAATGGAGGGTTGGGAAAAGGCTCTAATAAGGTTTCAATGGGTGACCTGTAGAGTCGGGTGCTGGTAGATGATCGACGGCTTTTTGGAAGGAATCTGTTGGGTTGTGAACATGTTGTCCATATCCATGTGTTCGTCCCCTTGGGGACTGTTCTTAGAACCCCTGCTACATTTTTCTCTGTTAGAAGCAGGTGCTGTTCTGTCAGAATCCGGGTTTGGAAGGATCCACGGTCCGCACATCCCCATTTCTCCAGCAAGTTCCCTCCCTAAATCAGGGAGTTCCGCTTCACTCCCCTTAGAATGCGTTCACTTCCGCCCTCCAAACAGAGTCAAAAGGACGCGCCCCGCACGGAACGCCGGAAGCGATGGCGTGCACTGGAACCCTGCAACCCGCACAGAATCCCAGATCTCCTGTTGGTTTGGGGAATGCTCCCCAAGGGTTGTGAATCTTTTTGGGGGGAAGCTGGGAGCGATTCATAGATGTGATGCCAAGAAAGAAACACCTGTTGCAGGCCGCCCCAGGCAAGCTCTTGTGACCCGGCCCTGTGCGCTCATACATCACCTGATGCGTGTCTTCTCCAAGGAGTGAAGCAGAGCGCACCTTCAACCAGCGCTTCGGCGGAGAAGCCAGAATAGTTGTTCTGTTGTTTTGCGGGTCAGACCGAGTCCACCTCTTGCATGCCTGCAGCTCCCTGAAAGAGATTTGGAACAACATCTTCCAGCGAAAAAACACAAAATAAAGGAGGAATGAGCAGTAAAAAGACGCATGGAAGAACATGGAAGAACACTACTCTTTTGTTGAGGCAGAAGAAACCCGGCCGGCCGCCCCGGTTCGGCCGCGTTTGACACGCCCCGGTTCGACGTTCTTCCGTTGGACGCTAAGGCTGTTTACTCAGTCTGACAAGAATCAGGATGGCAAGATCGATGCCCAGGAGCTGATGAGTTGCGCCTCGGCGCTCCCACGGCGGGCTGTCTCGCCGGGTCTCGGAAGGTCGGAGGGTCTGGACTCTAGGGTCCGTCTCGGGTGGAGACGGGGAAGTGGAGTTCAGGTGGAGGGGATTGGAATCCATTGGAAGGGAAAAGGAAGCTCGAAGACCTGTGGAGATAGAGAAGGATGAAGACTAAGACTTTTTGGGAATTCGCTGGGACTTGGACTTGGTTGCATGGTGCAGCTACTGGAGATGCAACATGAGTCACGGAAGAGTGTCATGTGTTGGCCAACCTTTTGCTTACGCTCTTTTGAAGCCAGGCTCGTTGTGGTTTCCGCTGCCCCTCAGTGAGGCTTTTTGATGAACGGCATTCGGATGAATCCTTTGGTATTGGCCCAGATTTGCGCCACAGCAGCTTCTTGGACGGTCAAGGGCGGGAGGTCTGTGACATGCAGGGCGGGAGGTGGTCCAAAGCGAGGAATGTGAACGTCTTACAGTTGACTTTAATGTAAAGTGAGATGGATTGAGTTGGAAAGGGTCTCCGTTTTGATCTCGTGGAACTTTTTCAAGCTTGCACCCCCTTGCGGACTTGCCAAAGCCGCAGACCGGCTGCAGATGCATTGGCGGCTCCATTCAAACCGACAAACGTCCCAAGCTCCGATGGGTTGACATCGCCCGCCTCGTCCAATTCTGGTGAACCCTTCCATCCGGATCCGGACATCACGCTACGACCCTGCCACGATCTAGCGAAAAAACAAAAAAAGAAAACACAGAGAAATATCCTCCGATCCGACTGCTGATGGGCCCCTGCTGATAAATCCAAGTTCAAAGGCCTCAAAACCCAGAAATGCCCCACGGCTCTCAGGATCTCGACCACAATGGCAGCTACGACTTCGATGAGTTCTGGCACCTCATGCAGATCGTCAAGGCGCATGGCACGACGTGGAAAGCCTCGATCCGACTCGCGGAGACGACTCGCGGAGACTCGTCGGGCTCCAACAGGTCGGTCGGCGTTTCTCCAACAGGTCGCCCCTGGTGTCGACGATCCCATTGAAATCATTGAACCACTGAAAAGGGTGGCAAAACACGGGTGAAAACGCTGGGGGCCTGACAGAGCCAGGTCGACATGTGAGTTTTCGGGAGTGTACCTTCCCTCAAACAATCATGGAAGCTGAGCAGAGCCTCCTTTTTTGGAGGACAGTTGGTCTTCCTTTCGGGGCCGAACTGTTCCACTTTTATGATTGTTTCGGGGAGTGTAGCTGGAGAAAGAACACATAAAGAAAACATCGTGGACATATGTACATGAAACATCATCGTCGGATTTCAATCTGATGGCAATGGCGAGAGAGAGAGAGAGAGACCGATACACTCCTTGGAATCATCATGGAAGTGGAGTTCACCACCACCTGTAATTACTTGTATACTCGGAAAATTTGCTTTTGATCTTTTTTGTTATTTTATTTCTGATTCTCTTTTTAAAGCGCCATGCCATCCACTTCCACTTCCGCCATGAGGGTTTTATAGGGCGTGGACCCAACTTCACCGTCCCTGGCGTCTCTGCGACTCGCTCAGGGCGGCCAAGCGGGCGCCGGATGCTTCTGAGGTGCCTCCCAGCGCCGCGTCGTCAGCTGCGTCGCGTGGATGGACGACGTCGTTGAATCGAGAAGGGGCCTGTAAATAGGGTTTAGGGTTTAGGGTTCTTGGATTAGGGTTTAGGGTTTGGATCTTGGAGGCCTAGGGGTTCTTTCGGATGCCTTGGGTGTGTCCCGACGGGGAAAGATGATCTATGAACAGTTCGATGTTCAAGAAAGGCCTGCCAGATGGACCATGATCCACTAGTGACTGGTACTGGGAAATACCGGATGCCGTTCGCAGTTCTTCAAATGGGTGGTTTGGATCACGTGGACCGAGTCCGTTTCAGCCCCAGTCCGGTTGGTATGAAGAAAGCCTTGAATGAATTGCTCCTCAAAATAACATACACTCTAACGAACACATCACATGGAATTGGATGGCATGGTCCCTGAAAAAGACTAGTTTCCTTTACGAACAGAGGGCGGGAGCGTAACAGAACTACATAAAGAAAGAACATGCCATCCCCTGGTGGAACCCCAGTCCATCGGTTCCCTTAAGTTTGTCTAACATGCAATTTTTTTCATGCGCCCTTTCCAGCAAGAAACGGCACTGGCAGGGAAGGGGCGGGTTTTCCAAACCTATTGTGGAGCTGAGTTCAGCTGAGGCTGAAGCTGGCTGAATTGCTTTCGATATATGCAAACTGCGCCTGGCAGATAGCCCGATGTGTGCAGACTGGAGCTCATGAGCACAAGTTACGAACGACAAGACATTGGAACTGTGGAACATCACAAGGGTGCTTTCAAAAAAAGCATGTCCTTCATCCTTGAGTTTTGCATCCATTTTTCACACGACTTGGGCAGGGTGGAAAGACGCATGTGGCTCTTGACCCCTCAAAGACTAGGCGGTGCTAAAGATCCCAGTTTATGGTGTTGCTTCCATGTTGTTCTACCTTAGATCAAGCTGCACGATGGTGTTTTTCTTCCGGCTGGATATCAGCACAGTGATCAAAATCGTGGGACTGCAAAGCTGAAAGATGAAGGTCTCCGCGGAGTGGCGCGCGCCAAAAAAAGCTTCCAAGGGGGGCTCAGAGGGTCTATGAGGGGGGCTCAGAGGGTTTATGAGGAAGCTGAAATTATCCATAGTCTGACTCCTTTCAACAGGAAGCCGTTCTGAGCTGCTCGGGAGTTTCCTGACTCTATACTGTTCGGTCCATACCTTCGCGAATTGTTAACTCATGGGATTGTTTCCAAGTCACGAAAGGTAGCGGTTACGCTACCTGAGTTTTCCTTTTGCTTTAGCAAAAATGTATTAACCCAGAGCTGCAGCCTATCTCTCGGAGAAATGGTCCCCGACATCTTCGTTTGCTGGCCGGGGGGGGGGGGGCCCCCCCCCCCCCCTTCC